CTGTCTCGGTGTAAACTTCCTCTCTCTCTCTCCCTCTCTCTCGCCCTTCTTTTTGAACTGATAGTCATCGCTTTTGAACGTCTCATCCTCGCACCGGTGACGTCAAACCGCCTGCGTCCGCGCGCGCGGTCGACGCCCCCGGGACGAGGAAGAGAACTCAAATTTCATCATCTTTTGCCGACGCACTAACCTCGAGAGAGAAGGGTTGCGTCGAGTGTTGCATGGAGACGGTGTTGGTACGGATGACCGGGAGCGCGAGGTCTGGCCCGTGTTTATCGCCTACCTCCGATCGTCCCATCTCGCTACCGGCCTTCCCCATCGTAGATGACGACGGCGTCTACTGCAATGCGGATGTACGGCGCGCTTTGAGTCGAACGGAGCAAGTCTATAGGCGAGAACCGCCCCGGGCGTTGAATATTAGGGGAAACGGGCTTGTCTTAATTGATCGTTTCGATTCCCCGACTCTAATATTGCCCTATACGGACCTGACTATGTTGCCCTGGTCGGCCGCTCACGTGGCGGCCGCAGTTTGATTGTCGCTGGTGTCGCCAGGCGGACTCGTGTTCTTGGCGACGACTGGTCCTGGGTTACGAGGGAGCGGCACGCTTCCCTGAGCTCTCCCGTAATGCGAGGGCGCTGCCCGCGCGATTTCGAATTCGGGTATCGGCAAGTTCTCCCGCCGCTTCACCATCTCGGGAACTTCCACGCAGACGTTGTGAGTCCGACGCCGAGGCTTGAAGGCCTCGAACCAACCACCTATACAACGAGAACCCGACGGCCCGGTCTTCGGTCCTTAGCCAACATGGCCTCCTCCCCCTGCTGCCCTTCTTTGTTTTGATTCATTGCAGCAGCTCGTCTTTGCGGAACTATTCGGTTTTCGTTACCCTGGGCTGACCCGACCTCCACGGGGCTCAGTAGCGAAAGATCGATCCCGGGATAACCTTTGGCTCGAAAGGAGAGCCTCCCGTTCCGACCGGAAGACTCAACCCCTACGGCCAAAAATCCTCGGCCACGCCCCTCCTATAACTCTGATCGGCGACCCGGAACGGAAAGCCGCGAGGGGGCGTGAGGTTGTATCACATACCGCCTCTCACCAAGGGAGGTCTGATAGGCATGCCGCTCAGGCCACTGTGTACCTCTACTCGCCGAACTTCATTCAGAACAGGTAAGCCCGGTAGCTTGGTAGCTTGCTAGCTTAATACTGTCACAACTGCATGATTGATCATATGACTAAGTACAATGTTTAGGGACGCTGGACCCGATTTCCAGCAGGTGCTGCTCCCCACCAATAGATGGAGCCTCCCCGGCGGTGCTAGCGGTGTCTACTCTTACCAAAAAAAAAAAAAAAAAAAAAAAA